TTGAATCATCACTGTCAAATACGACGGCAGAGACCATCCTTCAGGGATGCTTTGCACGATGACTGGAAGTTCTACCCAGAGGCCATTGATTTCGACCCAAGCACCGATCCCAAAGCAGATCACCAAAATAAAAGTTATGATTGAAATGTTCTGCCAACAGTCCTTCACTTTAACTTTCAGAAGATCCATTGCTATTTTAACTTGAGCCATGCTTGTAGTCAAAACAAGATTTTCACGTTATGCAATCGCAAAAGACAACTTCTTCACGCAATGTCAAGCTCTAGTGACCACGCGGTTTTGTGACCTCAGCAATTTATACTGCCTAGAGACAGCAAACATTTTGTACTGCGGATACATTTATGTGGGAGGGGAGGGAGAGGCTAAAACTGGACGTAGTGACCACTATGTTATTTTTCTGTGCTTGTTCTGTTTGTTGTTTAGTCGGAATGAAGTTTTATCCGTTCTTTGGGCTATGAATAATAAGTTTTACATTGTAAATTTTATGTAATTTATCATTTTATTATCTGTGAAAATAAAAATCCTCGTTTAATTTTCAAATGTAAAATTCTTCCTGAGAGCAGTTTTTGTAAACKGTATATTAATTGTCTAGTAGGAATGGGTACTATGGAGCAATATAACAGGTGCGGCAATTCATACGTGGCCTTATTCAGTTCGATAACGTAGAACACCTACACACTCATTTACTTGTTTGTCAATGTTAGTATTTGTTTTCGACCCCATATCCAAAGAGCGGCATGGTTTTATATCAAATTCAATTCATATTCCTAATTTCATAACGAAGACGAATGAAACAAAGAAACAGCAGTTTAAACRGCAGTTTTCAGATAAGATCATTTCTTTATTATAAGAACGTTAGTCAGTCTAGTAGTGAAGCTACTTGTCAAAGAACTTTTTAATTATTATAAAATATTATCTATCTCGTTGATATTTTACCCATTCCTGATATATAACGATATTTATATTGACAACTATTATCCAGTAGTTACTATGGTTACCTCCAGTGTAAATATACATTTCATTTCGAGTGCCTCTCGTATAAGCACAGCCGGGAGAAGACAGGTCACGAGTCACTTACAAAAACACAGTTTGTCGTACAAAAAATAAGACGGATAGTAAAAAGTCCCACACGATTTGGACGAATACAATAAAATGACGTCAYGTTACGTCATAACAAAAGATCAGAGGCGCTGCATATCATTACCACCATGCATTACAAGGTGCGTTTAGAGATCATTTAAGAAATAGAGTGCTAACACTAAAACCATGAAAAACTTTAGTAATAAAATAGTGCTAAATTGTACTGGATTAGAATGAAGTCATTAAACCTGTGAAACAAAATTAGACAATTTAAAAAGTGTGATAGACAAATAGACATAAAAGAAAACAATGCAATTAGAGCGTACTAAAGTGTATACTCAGTAAAATATATCTATTTCACGGGTTTTTTTTTTACTTCAATCTATGCAGATTCCTTCCTTTTCAATTGTTTATATATTACCCTAATTAGCATTACTTGTTAAGTAGAGTGGACGAACTAAATCCGTGAAACAAATACTAGTTAGTACTACTAAACAGTCTTGATTTGACAATAGAAAACAAAGAAATTGACGTAATTTAACGCTATTTGTCACAATTTTCGTTTCACGAATTAAGTCAATCTACTTTTTCACGCTTTTAGTGTTTGCACTTTTTAAAATACATATTTTGATTGATGTCAGTCATGTGACGTAACTTGCGACGTCACAAAGTTGTACCACGTGACTAGATACTCAGGCTCGTCTCGTAAAACTGCACTATACTGCGAATAACAGCAAACAGTTAGCCTGGGGAGCGCATCTATAGTTACATTCAGGAAAACTGRCAGTAATTTTCTTTTACGGTCAATGTTCGGGATGTCACAGCAAGATATCATAATGACGTTCCTCGCAAAGTATGAAGGGAGTTTAAGACAGAGGACGCGGCAGACCTCCGACGCGATAGGGTACGCATAACATTTCACAGTCTTTCTAATGTTCATAGAAACGTTTAGGGAAGYGCCCTTAGAGTTTTTATCCATTGAAAAAAAACACTTTCTCGTCGTTTAAATTAAACTTAGCTAATTTAAAAAAWTATGTAGAAAATTGGTAGAAATACTAGGTATTGTCGAATAAACATTTTCAACATAACATCGATACTGTGCCGCTTTTCGTCCATGACACGCTGCACAACATACAGATTATTGCCATTTCATTGAAGATGCAAGTCCGACCGCGTCGCAGAGCCTTGGCGTCCTCTATCTTAAAGCCCCTTTACTATTCGAAAAACTGCCGAGATACAGTCAGCTCACGAGCGTTATATGCGACGTCAAATCAGATTTAACCGAGGGTCATAAAAAGACTTCTGTTTGGGAAGCTAAAGAATCACCCAGTTAAATTTGTATCCCAACAAATCACAATTGGTCGAGAGTATTGTATCATTTAACGTTACTCATTCCAACGACGAGAGTTGACCAAATACCAGAATGAGGATCCTTACACGTCATACACACTGACTTGTGCCCAGCACTATATAATTCTCAGTATATTGTGTTAATAAAGCCATTATCGTCTGTGAAGTGTTAAGAGGAATAACCATTTGATGTTCTTCACAGAAAATACACGTAAGGTGTATGTAATTCTCAATGGACTGACCGCAGATAGTTTATCTTATGAGGACATTCATCTTTTTTTATTCTCTTTTTATGAAATCGTCGTTCCAACGAATATTTCTTCTTCACTTTAGGATCGTGTAGCTTGATTTAGGAGCCAAAGCAAAACATCTTTGCCGTCATTTGTACTCCAAATSAAAATGTATTCCCATGTGTATAATTGTAGGATTTAGAAGTGTCTTTGTTGTACCATGTGGGTTACAAACCCTAAGTCGAGATATCGGTATCTGCGCATGTGTAGTCGCAAAAGTAAAAGATGAGCACCGRTTGCAATTMAGTTCATTTTGTTGTCGCTGTACCGTGTGGGAGTCAAACAATTACTCACTATAWTTGTAACTGCGCATGCTTATTCACTTGAAACCAAAGGGCGTAATGTTGCCATTCTGATGTAGTTWTCGTAGTACGATTTGAGAGTCGAAAATATATATTTAAGTACTGCGCATGTGTAGTCAGTGTATCAAGTGAGAACCAAATATTCACATCGCCAGCGCATGCGTTGTCACTTAAGAAGAGCTTTGTATAATAAGTTCGATTTAGAAGTYTCTTTTTCTTGTTCCAGAACAAATACAAGGTCTTTAAGTGTAACGCGCCTTGTTCTCTGTAAATCAAACAAAAGAAGACGTAATGATTTTAAAGAATTCGTGGCAAGATAGAGCGGATTTCGTATGAGTGGGACACCGTTACCGCAYGGTTACCGCACAGTTACCGAACCTGGCCTGCACAATTTTGGTGAACCAATGGGGCACTAGAATTTGGTTACAGTACGATTACGGTCACAGTACAGTACCGTCCGTTTCCCACTCATACGAAATCCGCTCTAGATGTTTAAACGAGATATGAGGCACTACAGGCCACGTGGGGTAGACTTTTAAAGTTTATGTTTGAGTGGGTTACCTGTGGTCGATTTCCATATGCACTTCGAGGCGAGTTGAAAGCGGCACTGGACGAAGAGGAGCCCTGCAATAAAACGTCAAAAATATGATAATCACAATTATATCAATTATATAAATTATCACACAAATATTCAAACAAACAGATAAATGAATAATCCGTTAGGATAAAAAGTTACTATGAAACATGATTTGTCCTTATCAAGGATGTTTGTTCTTGACAAAGTCTATCCTTAATGCTTTACGGACTAGTTGCAAGGGGGCTGACACTGATCGGACAACCTTTGTCAACGTAACTGTATACATGCGTACCGGCGATGAATTATATCCTTCTAAAGCTTCGTCTAATTTTCTTTTCTTTCTCGGTCCAATGGCTGCTAAAGCTGTGTTGTTAGCTTCTCGTTTTCGTATAATTTCTTCCTCCTCTTGCTGAAGCTGTGAGATAAAACCAAACACTGAGTCAGACAATTAAATATTACGCAAGTCGAAAGAATTTCTCCACTGAATAAAATGACTTTCTTTTCGAGATATAATGAAGCAATGTTTAGGTATGTTTTATTTGAATTTCTGACTACTTTCTGAATCCCCTTCAGTGTTTTATGATATTTTTGCGACCCGACAACGTTTGTTAGGTGTATCTTGTTTGAAAGAAGAAAAAGAAAGAAAAAAACAGCGCTCTCATCAGCGTGACATTTATAGTAGAGACTTTTCTCTTTTGTTTTGCAAAAAACGAAAATTGAGTTTTATTGCGCTACAAGTAGATCTAGAGGCCTTCATATAACAGACCTGTTTTGCCTTTTCCTTCAGTCTTGCTTGTTCTGGATCTTCTTGTCTCGATCGGCTCTGAAAAAAGAATAAAAGAACTTTATGAATAACGTAATGAGGTCCACGCAAAACCAAGGTATCAAATAGGCGACAGTTGAATGTGGACTTCCGTTGTCTATTTTCCATTTTGAGTTTTTTTTTAATTGGCGTGGTCCTCTAAGTACGAGTCGTCCTTCAAGATTTAAAGTTTCTTTATGTAATATTACCTTTGCGGCGCGCATGAGCACTTCACGCTCTCGAAGTTCTCGTTTTTTACGTTCAACTTCGTCGATTTGCTCAAAGACACGGATCTGCGCCTTGGTTTCCGATAATGCTTCATATTTCGGGTCATCCTGATGGTAAAAATAATCGGTTAGTTTCAGAAAAATATGAACTTCAACAAGTTCAGGGGGACAGGGAGCCCGCCACTAAGAACGGCTGAGGAGACTACTACATTAGGTTMRGTTTGGAAAAKCATCTATTGTTACCCTGCGTAGCCAGGCGTTCCTAGCTRCTCTGAGAGAGTTTGGGCCGGAGAAACCTGTTTTCTAAGGCCCAAACTCTCTCGGAGCAGCTTGGAACGCCTGGCTRCGCATRCTATCTCGAAACCAATCACGAAATTYRCGTCCAAAGATTCGTGACGATCCTTTGAAAGTCTTMTAAGAATGAGTCAGTCTGCACGCCTAGCTTACCCTATAGTTCTCTGGTCGATTTAAACTAATCACMGATAATTTTTCTAGTGTATCTCTAAGTCGTTCTTGCGTCGCATGCGAAATAAGACCACATACATCTTGTGAAATCCCGGTAATACCATGTTTTTTGACTGTTGGAACAAAGAAAATTCCATTAATTTTCGCATGAAAACATTGTTGTAATTTACAAATGTGTAATAAGGTGCACACAAACACAAAAACATGAAAAAGTATTAGAGTGGTTTTAACAAACCAGATAAAGTATAATGAAGTGTGATACATAAAAAAACGAAGAAGAAGTGTAAGATAAAGATTCATGAAGTGTAGTGCGCTAAAATTTTATTCCTTAAAGGCTGATTTACACGGTACGATTTGTCGCGCGCGACTTGTAGTATACGATTTTCCTACTACAAGTCGTAGGATTTTAAGCAGTGGTTCAAAACCCTACTACAAGTCGTAGGTTGCGTACGACTGTTGTAGACAAGTCGTAGGGGCATTTACACTGCGCGATTCAAGTCGTATACTACAAGTCGCACGAGACAATCGTGCCGTGTAAATCAGCCTTTAGACTGAAGTAAAAAACCCGTGAAATAGATGTCACACTATACAACTTAGTACATTTCAACTGCATTTTTTTTTTTGTGTGTCTATTTGACTATCATTAATAGTCAAATTGCTTTCACGGATTTACTGACTTCAATCTAAGGAAAACTACTCTAACCAAATGGCGCTAAATAACGCAAGATACATAAAGTGCTGATTATATAAGCGAAAATAAAGGAATTCAGATGATTCAGTAGAATCACCAAACAATAGGCATCTTCAATGACCGCCCTACCTAATGATTCTAATTTCTTTTGTAAAGGTTCTGAATAGAGAAAAATCTCATCTCGACAACTTCTTGTTTGGGAGCTGAGTAGATCTGAATTAATAGCTAGTATTCTTTGACTCTCTTCCTGTAAATAGAAAGTAATATACCAGAGATAAGTATTAATCCATTGTTTGCTTAAGCAATAAACGATAGCTTGAAGAGGTTTACTGGCGAAATAAACCGCGCGGCCGGGATGGTTGGAAGAACACGAGAAAAGATCTGATTTACCCTTTCGAATGTTTTTATATTATAGCAGAAAATTTGGGCCATTTAGTCTTTCAAGACAGCAGACTGGTTTACCGACGAAATAAACCATAGCTTTTCTCATGAAATCCGCCAATCAGCGCGCATGTTATAATTAAATGTAAGTGAACGATTGTTGATGTGCATCGTCTTACTGAAAAAGAACCGAGAGAAATTTTACTAACGTTCCGATCCTTTGTCCTTTGACGAATTACTGAGGTCCGAAATGTCACTATGTTTCTCTCTCCATCACCATCAGCTTTTTTAACAGATCTATTTTCGTGATACTACAGGACTTACCATRAGATTGACGCCTGCCATTGAAGTGACATCATTGATGTCATCATCGCCACTACTAAACGACGAACACACAAAAAAAATCATATCAACAAAAAACATAATGTTACAGTGTGACTAAATGGAACCGCAGCTATTACATTCTAACCAATCCATTTTAACCAATCACATTGCAGTTGTGTAAAAAGGTAAATTCAACACCGTAAAAAAGTACGTGAAATCACTTACTGACGTTGCGGACGTTGATCCTTCGTCCGAGTAAAGAGAGAAGTTGTTTCACCTACTTTTTTTAATAACGGTGTTAAATTTATCCTTTTATACAACTGTTTCTTTAGAAACACCGACGCAGCTCACACTAGTTTACCGCTAGTAGCCACCAATCACATTGCAGTTGTTTTTGAATAAGCCAATCAAATTAGAGGACACTGCTAAATAGAGGTTGACCATTTTATAGAGATCACCATAACAGTAAACATATACTGCATAGGAGTTGATGGGGGAATTGATGAATGACTGCTTAATGAAGTGTCATCGCTTAAAAGAGGTCTGCTTAATAGGGGTTTGACTGTAGACTTTACACACAGACTATTCATTGGAGTTCTCATTCGGTTTTTCTTTCAATATTTCTTCCATTCATTCATCCTACTCTCACTCTCAATACCTGCTGATCCCAGCATGTCCAGCTTTGTGTTTTGTCTTATCTGCACCAGGAGCAGAGGCAGCTTGGGGCTTTACCTGTGTTGCCAGCACAGTTTTCACTCCACCTGCAGTAGTAATCCCAACCCCAGGYCTGTTCTGAACCATGACTATGCTTCTTGCTGGTATCTGTGTCCCTGACCCASTTGCTGAATTAGAAGGCGAAATAAGAACTCTTTGTGATCCAAGTTGTTGCTGGCGACGGAACAGCTGTTGCTGAGCTGGTGTAAGCGTCACCACAGGTGTATTCTGCATAAGTAATTGTTGTTGGTGAGGTGTTAAGTGTACTCTTAATTGCTGTTGATTTTGTGTSGTTGACGGTGTAAGTGGTCTCTGTTGCGGCAAGGCTGTAATCATCCTTTGAGGGGACTGGGTATTGTAGGCAGGCTTGGGAGTCACTGAGTTCCCTATTGCTTGTTGTTGCTGAGCTGGTGTACGTTGTTGCTGCTGTTGTTGTGGTGTTTGCTGTTGTTGCTGTTGCTGAATTTGTGCTCCTGCTTGAGCTCGTAACATGGGCAATGCTTTCTGTTGGTATAGAATCAGATTGTTAACAAAAAGGAAAACATAAAGAAATGAGACCCCTTTGAGATGTACTGTCAATCACCCTCACTGCATCTACATTGTCATGTAAGTCAGTCATTTTGCTGTCAAAATTGCACAGTTAACTAGACAACAAAATCACACAGTTAGCCAGACACTTTTCCATCTAAGTTGAATTTCTAGCCAGGCACTTTGCCATCTAAATCTTTCAGTAAACCAGATACTTTTCCATCCAAGTCAAACAGCTGGCCAGAGAAGTCGTCTTAGTAAGTCAGTTAGGTAGACACTTCAATGTCTAAGTCAATCAGTAAAACATACAATGGTGTTGTTAAGTCAAAGAGCTGTGTAAGTCAATCGCCTAGCCATCATAACGATTATATGGAAACCAAACTTTATAGTTTTCATTAAATAAATGCAGTTCCACAAGTTCAGTCATATTGCCAATATATGTTTCTTTGGTTTTAAGTATGAATTTTAGGGTTTCCTGAGTTAGGATTCTCATTCTTTGGGGTTCCTGTGCTAAATCTCTTGCAAGACACAATTTTACTTAAAACAAGTGACCTAGTAGTTTCCAGTTTGAGAGTTAACTAAAAGACTAATAACTATACCGAATGAAAGAGTGTATACCTTTAAGAAGCCAACCAGGTTTGGCTGTGGCCCGGAACTGAGCGTGGTAAGCAGCTTAGCTGCAAATTCATCTTCAGTGAGCTTCCCTTCCTAYAAGAAACAAATGATTAAAACTTAGACTTGAATAGCAAAAGACAAGTTTAACACTGCACCTCAAGACAGAGTTCTTTTCCTCATGTACTTYGATAAAGGACCAACACGGTGTAAACTTATCTTTTCATCATCAAAACAAATTATACTTGAGTACTTTTCGATTTTTGATAGAGCAGGTAAAATAGAAAACTGAGCAATCTGTTCAAATCTGTACATTTTTAAGGTTTTTTGGTCTATATTTCAAAATGTTATGTCTTAATCTTTTAACAAAACCTGTTGATAATGTAAACAGTGAGACCAGTGGTAGCTGACGTTCAAAGAGGCAGTGAAGTGAAATGGTGGCAACAAAAACACTGTCAAGAGAGATCTTGAAACTGAATGCTAATACTTTCTTAGACAAWAAAAGACGAACATTTCTGTGAGCAAACTGCCGTATCTCCAGGATAAATCCTTATCCAAATAAAATCCATACTTTTTAAAATCATTGGACAATTCTATCATCTGGATGTTTTTAAACATAATCCATTTGATAGTTTTGAAGGATACCACAAGTTTTTTGTTATTTGAAAAGAAGATAACTGTTGACCTCTCAGCACAGGAAACCAACACTTACTTATTGTAAACAATTTGACATGACAGACAACTCTTTGCTTGCCTTGAGTTGGTTTTATAGTTTGGAGCTTTCTACTTGCCCTTTAAGGCCAGTTCACACTTGCCATTTTTGCAGCACAATAACTGCCACTTCGCTATCACACAACTAAAATTCTATATGTACACAGCCGTGAGATAGTTGCGATGATGGAAAATCATCGCAAAGTGCAGCAAATTTTCAAAATTCAGGCGATGGTCGCATGATGATCGCTGMGAGAATCACGCTGCAAAAATCGCAAGTGTAAAAGGGCCTTTAGGGGTAAGTACTAGGCAGATTATGCATRCACACTAAAAGGAGCCAGTACTACATGAACCTCATCAGCAAGCAACTGCTTACATCATTGCATTGCTTGGGTGAAAGATTGTTGACCATTGCAAGTTTCTCAGTAGCAACAGTCGATTTACACTTTAATTGGCAAGACACACTAAAAAGACAAGAATGCTTTGTTCACTTTCTTTTGTAATGTAATTAGTCCCAACTGAATTCCTTGCGCATTTTTCTTTTTTTCCAGATTTTTAATACCTCTTGAGATTAGCAAATGAGTTGGGCTATACACTACAAAAAAAGTAAGCAGAGCATTCTGGTATTGGTAGTATGTGACACCAGCTTTCAAAGGTTGGCTACTGTTCTAGCAAATGTAACTGAAGGTTTTGCAGCTGTATAACAAGGAAACTGCAAATAATTTCATCAAGTAAGTGTTGATAAACTATGCCATACATGGTGTGTTTTTTTGTGTTTTTTTTTTTTTTTTTACATCTACTGGCTACTATTGATTAAATGTACAAGTAGAACGGGCTCAGGGAGTCTTATCTGTGAATTTGCATCTGGGAGCCAGGAGACAACACAACAAGACTGTGCATGCTGCCAGAATACTTTTCTGAATTCAATGTTCTTATGGCATCAATACCAGGAAAAGGTCTGTTACACTGCCATGTGTTACCAATACCATTAATACAGTCCTACTTTTTGCACTTTGAATTCATTGTCTGTAYATAAAATAATTATTGACACTACAGATTTAATTTGACCTACCATAACTTTTTGAATCAAGTCTTTAACAGCTGGTCCAACTTCGGGTGATTTTTCAGCAGCAAGCCGGATAAGATTATTGAAAAAATTCTTTAATTTTGTAGCTTGTTCTTCTAAGTGTGCCCTGGCCTGTGGTTGCGCCATGGGAACCTGTGCAATACTAGTTTGCGGAACAGTTACAGCTGCCACAGGCTTTGCCGTGGTAGTTGTAACAATCGAATTTGTTGAATTCTGGTAGCTTAAAGTTGTAGCTGCTGGAGTTGTGGTTGTGACCACAATTCCAGGGTGGGCATTGCTTGTAGCAACACTTGTTTGATTCTTTACAAGTTGCAATGGATTTGGCATTCTGAATGCCGCATTGCCTACCATATTTTTCACATTTGCAGCATTATGTCCCTGCGCTAGATTACTTATAGGGACGGTCGAATTTGTCACGCCGTTGTTTGTAGTAGTAGCAATGGCCGATGGATCTTGGGTGATCGTTATACGGCCAGTTTTGCTATCTTTTGAAATATGCACTCCTGGAGCTTGTAATTGTGAAATWGCTGGAGAAATTGCTCCCGTTGGCAAACGTGGTTGAATTGAAGGTATAATACGAGGTGCGATTGGTTGTCCTTGACTGGGTACTGTAACCCCAGTCATCATTCTCGGCGCGAGCAGTTGGGAAGCATTGATCATGTTCACATTGGTTCTATTTAGAAGTTCGGCTGCATTTATCGCCGTAACGTTAACATATCCAGCAGGTAAAACCATAGYATTTGGTCTTAAAGGCACAGCAGTGCTAGGAGTTGGTCGAGGTGCAATATGAATCACTGTTGTAGTCGCGGGAACGCGTGCCGCCGGGATACCTGAACGAAGATTCGCCGAATGGCTCGAAATCGGGCTACTTTGCTTCGACTGTTTGCTTGAAACATTCGATGGCTGTGATGAAGCCTTGGCCGGTGAATAAACTTGCTTTGATTCATTTTGAGTTGAGCTAGAGACTGTAGAAGACGCTAGTTGACTTTCTAGCGATCCTCTCATCGCACTGACTTCATTTTCATCGATTTTTTTGCCGAGAAGGTCATCGATAAAGGACGACGCCATTTGACCACCATTCTATTGATGCACTCTGCTTAAAAACTAGCCCAATGGAATTCTGGGTAGCGTCACTCATGCGCATTTTTTGTACTGAAAATATGCTGTTCAGCTAGTCCCGTGGGCTCGTATGACACAACTTTACATGAAATTATACACTTTCTTTGATAAACCTAAAATTTATGTCGAATATAATTAAATAAAATATAAAGAACATAAAGAATCATATAATTTCCTTATTTATATCAAGGATGTAATTTTAAAGATAAAGAATGTTGGTAGGGTTCCTTTAYTTTATTTTGACCATTTAACTTTTTTACGCATATAAAGAAAATTAGTTAAATGGAATAATTCCTGAAAATCTGATGAAAATCTCACATTTCTAGCCATCTTGTTTAAAGGAAAAATTATGGGATGCTTCTATCTAGAACCGCTGGTAGTTTGTGCGCAGGCTCAAATTTCTTCCTTAAACAAAACACAAAATAAAGGCAAGTATTGCTCTGGAAATGTCAAAAATGTTTGACTTRCTGCCCGTAGATCAAAGCGATTTTATTTAGAGAATTCATCAAGCTCTTGTATGTCTTAGTCAAGCTATCAGTATTATATTTATGGGCATTTGCTGTTGTAAACATAACGACAACTTTGGTGAAGATCACAGAGATGGCGAAGGCGATGGAGGACGACGACCAGGTCGCAGAATATTACGACGATTAAACTACGATACAGCCACAGATGGGCTTGTCTTAGAAGCTTTGTCTGCTCTACGAAAGCTAGCAGACAAGTTAGTATTTATTGTTTGATTTTCCGATTCATTTATATGAATCTAATTATTTGTTGGTGTTTGGACGATATCTACGAGGACTATAGAAAATGTAGGGAAATGCCCTCGAAAATAGAGGGGTCTTGTATTCAAATTACTCTATTATTTAAAGCTTAGATTCTATTTCTATAAACGAGAGGTAGAAGTGTTCACTGTTGAAATCGTTTGTGTGCAAACATATGTTATCAGTCTATCTTTGTCAACCTAAACAACAGATGTGCACTACCTTAAAAAAAACTTTACGATCGTGAATTTGTATTCCTTTGAATTAATAATAAGACAAATTGTCTTGACCATCGTTGACCTCCTGAAGTTTGCACTAGTATTGAATCTTACTGCATCAGATATCCTACGATTCCATAGCTGAAAAGGTCGCTGAAAYATTTTTTAATTTCACATGTAATTTCACAATATTTTTCTACATGAGATAAAATGTTTCATAGAATTTTCCAATGTACTGTCTATAAGTTTGAATTAATTAATGAAGCGTTTAATGATATTCTGTCTGTACCAAATTAATCTTCTCTAGTGTAATATCATAGACAGAACTATAATGGCATTTAATGTTATGTGAATGAGGTAGTTTATAATTGCTCTGTTATATTTTCGTTAGATTAGTGCACTGCTGCAGAATATTCTATATGTTGATACTGTATTTTTGTTGTTATCAATATTTTTTGGTCTGATTCTATTTCTTGCTTTGTTGTTAGTGACTTATCTTTCTTCACCAGTATTGCTGTGCAAAAGAACTGATGTTCTTGCGTTTTAATTAAGCGGAAGTAAATTACAATAACAATTTTTTTTTTGCACCCAATGCAAGTTCAGTTTCTATTTCCTACAAACAAACAATGCTTGAATTCTCAGTCGAACCAGACATGGAACCTTCGAAACCTAATTTTTGATTGCTTCATTAACTAGTACAGTTCAAACCTCCATTGTTATAGGTTAGGTATTGTATGGTAAGGTTTCATTTTATTGTTTGGAAGAGCTCCTATTGTTCGACCATTGTTTCCTCGTTATCAAATGGTTTGTGATAGCTCTTTCATTGTTGCTTGCTATAATCCACAGTGATGAGGAACCACCAGAATGCATGGCCGTTCTACATTACTATGCAGAAGAAGGTAACCTCAATCGTTCTGTTCTGATTGTCAAAATACAGGCAGGCTAAGCTACAATCCTAGACAAAACTGAATTGGACAGAACGCTATTACTGCGCTCTAGCAGATGCTCTCTCTTATGGGCTGTTTTAATGCTTACTCAAAGCCTCCCCCTCCCCCCACAGTCAATGTTGGTTAACAATGTTGTTGGCAGAAATGTTTCGTTATGGAAGGAGGGTTTGTTTCGAGCCCAACATTGGAAATGGGGGGCCACGGGGGGAAATTGTCAGTAAGTTTTAGTAGACATACACTTTGTCCAATGAATTTTGTCCATGATTGTAGATTATTAATAGTAGCAAGAATTAAACAGAAACTGCAATTTCCATCTTGTCATCWTTGTTTATTATTTTATTGGYGTTTGTAAATGACATTTCACTTYTGACCATTAGCTCATGTTTCCTATTCTTTCAGAGGATGGATGGCTTACAATTGTCAAGTCTTGTATATTTGCAATTCCTCTAGAAGATTCTCTAGGAACTGCTGTTTTATCATTTCTTCTTGATGAATGCCCWTTACCAACAAGGGTAAGTATATCATTCCATGTTATTAATTCATATGAACACTTCATTCATAATATTTTATTAATAATTATAAATAATTATACACATTTTGACTGTATTGTGGGAACTTGAAGGTAAATTTAAGTCCTTCGCATGTGGTGTACCCTCTATGCAAAATTCAAAAGTTTGCTGTTTATCTCCTGGCTCCTCCTATTTCTCTGCACACATTGCCCAATGTAAGAAAATCCAGAGAATTAGAGGATTCCAGATTCCAAGCGCTGGATACCGGATTCCGAGACATTGGATTCCGGATTCCAAGCCTTGAGATTCCAGATTCCATGTTATCCATGCAAAATCTATGGTGCACTGTCTACAACTCCCTTTAATTGCCATTTTTGAAGGTCCATTATTAATATTGAAGTGTGCATGTTGAGCCGATATGAGTATTTCATGTGATTGAACTCCAGCGCAGCTATCTTTGAAGATGGTGTTGAGAAATGTACTAGTTACCACACAATACGTTTTTGTATTAATACTTGTTGTTAACATTTACCATAGGATGGCATCAATGCATTTGTTTCAAAATTAGATCTTTCCAAGGATACAGATTATTTAAGGTTTTATACAAAAGTAGACAGCAGGGAGACTCCRCTAAAGCCTGCCATATGTCGCAATCTTGCAGTAGTTTTAGCATGCTTGGCAGATAAATTGGCAGGTGAGTCAATTGAAGATACAGTTTAAGTCTCCTTTCCAATTCTCAGTGCCACCTTGAAAAGTGCATGCAGTTGAGAATATTGTGTTATAGGACAAGTGTGAAAAAGGTATTTATGGCATATACATGTCATTGCTGCTCAGCACATGATTGTGTTTTCAAAGCAATGACCAGGCTATTACAAGATGGTACCGGGAACTTGGAAATAATCTATCCATTAACATTAATCCATAGATAGGGAAGATAGTGATATTATAGAGCATTAACTTTAATGAAACATTGTATATTACTATCAGTAAGATTTTAGATCCTTTGTCTCAACAGAGGCTACATGTATCTAGAGCTCTAAATAAGAGACCTGATTGAGCTCACCAGGCACTAGCTAATGAAGAGTTTTTGTTTGCTATAAATCTCTGCACTGCCTTTCTGAAAACTGAATGACTGTTGTACAAGYCATGTACTTTCTTGTATTTTGTAGGTCCAATGAGCATAGCATTACTAAGTAAAGGAACCCTAGAATTTCTTCTTGAAAGACTGGTAGGCTGACAGCTACTTTTTTGTTACAATTATTAACAATATTATTTCACACTAACAAAGGTCGACAGAGCAGCAGCTCTACAGCAGCTCTTACTAATACTGTATGTTGTTATATTATAGTTAATATTTATKTGTTTATTTTTTTCAGAATGTTTCAGAGCACCCTGCTGTCATTCTATTTTCAATTTTAGCTCTGGAAAAATTTGCACAAACTAGTGAGTAAAGAACTTCATGACACTTATCTTGTTTTAAATTAGTTTGCTCTGYCATTCTATACACCACCAAAGAAAGAGACAACTGATCAGTCGATTGTTAAACCTGAATTTGAATTATTGCCTATAGRCAGCATACAATAGGGTATCATAATGATTGTACTCCCATGACGTATAATTTGCATATATATATAACTAATTGTGGTTCCAGAATTGTAGTATATTATGTTTGCTTTTAAGTCAATTTAAAAATTGTCAAATGCATTTCCCAGGTGAAAATATGAAAGGTATAAAAGAAAGCAGCGTTGCTGATAAACTTGTTGTCCTGGAAAARGAATTTCTTCACAGCACTAAYCTGCTTGAGCATCAGGCTGGATTTTGTGCTCAGTGGTGTCTGGACAATTCTTGTATGTTKTTGTTGATMTATTTGTAYATCATGATCTAATTCTATTAGTTTTTGCTCTAACTTAGTTTTTGACATCTGATTTAATCGAGGGCAGGCACTCTGATCATTTGGCTTAAAAATCAATAAAGAAAAGAATGTCATTGAGAAAGAACATTTGATATTTATTATTAAGTACATGTAAGCTTTTATTTCTGTGTAAAGTAGACTTACTTTTGACATTTCTTTCATGTCACCAACTTCATACAATGTCTGGCTGCACAGTTCCAAAGCCTGTAAGTACAGTASATGGCATCATTACCAGTGCTGCAACATATTTGACTCTTATACTCATGAGTATCATTGTCAGTGGCCGTCAGTGTTACATCTTAATTCAGCATTTTTAAATGTTTTTACTAGCTACAGAAAGAAATATTATTCTTTGTAGGGGCGACCATTTTCCTATGAAAACGTAGACGTTAGTTATATCAAGGCCATGTTGAACACCAATGATGTCAGTGAATATCTCAAGATATCCCCCACAGGGCTTGAGGTAACTTAATATTTTAAAAGAGAAAATTAACCAAACTGAACACAATAGTTATATTATCTTCAATGTGTTACTTGTTCAGTATTGGTCTTTAAATTTGTTTTAAGTTGTCTTGAAAGGATCATGATGTCTTCAAAGTCACTGAAATATTAGATTTCTTGGTTATTTGCAGGCAAGATGTGACGCTGCGTCTTTTGAGAGTGTTCGATGCACCTTTTGCGTAGAATCAGGTATAATGTACAGATATTTTTGAAAAAAATACCCCAAACATGTTTTACACAATAAGTGTCAAGCAAGGGGGGGTGTAGAAGGAGACTGGTAGACATGGTTAGAGCATGTGAAAATCAGAAAAAAAGGCAATTAAGGAAGTAGGATGAGAAGTAGAATTTGAGACATAAAAATTCTGCTTCTCTCAAAGACTTCCATTGGGAGAATTATGTCGGTCTTGAAGAGGACTTGGATTATTGTAATTGTATCAGACCATACTCTAACATGTCTTATTGTAGGAGTCTGGTTCTATGAGGTGTATCTGTTAACAGCTGGTGTCATGCAAATAGGATGGKCAACTAAAGAAAGCAAGTTTCTTAATCATGTAAGACACATTCGATGCAATAATGGATTGATAAGATATCGTTTGTAATGGTTGAAACTAGCGGTGAACTAGTGTGAGCTGTGTCGGTGTTTCTAATGAAACAGCTGTAAATTTAACACCGTAAAAAAGTAGTTGAAACAACTTACTGACGTTTCGGGCGTTAATCCTTCGTCCTTCGTCCGACGAACTGGCTCTTTCACAAAATTCTTAAACGGTTTTCATTGAGTGCCAGGAAATTATTTCAAAAATTAGAACCACTCAAGAGGATGTATCAGCAGAGCGTAGATAATATGAATATATACAATACTTTTTATATTCTTAAATTGAAAACATTTAATTCCAGGAAGGMTATGGTATTGGTGATGACGAGTTTTCCTATGCATATGATGGCTGTCGGCAGCTAATATGGCACAATGCAAAAAGCCATCCACATAACCATCAACCATGGAAGCCAGGTAGAAAATGCCTTCTTGGTTTTTTTTATGCAAAGTCCCTACCTTGAGTTTTCAATCCTTCCCTGCGCAGTCATTGTTTTCTGGCTCTCCATGTTTTTGCTTACGTGAGCCTTTGCTTCCGTCAAATCTCTTATTCAAATCAAGCTTGCAGAAAAATCAACAACACTTATTATCAACAGGCGATGTACTAGGACTTTTATTGGACCTTGATCGGCGGAAAATTCAATTCTTACTCAATGGCTGCGCTATAGAAAGAGACTTTAAAGCGAAAAAATCCAGGTTAGTGGTGGATATTGTTTTACATCTTCCTTATTAACAGATTGCGCAGATATGGCGCTCTAATTTGAGTGGGACCACTTGACACATTTTAAGTTAAAAAATTTGCGAAAATCATTCTTTCTAAATGAGCGCGCAAGAGATGCGATGGTGTCCGCACAAAGTGAATGTGGCGTCACTGACTCTTTCTATTGGGTCAATCGGCCGTCAATCAGTACGCAAGAAATAAGGACTGATATTCATCAACATCTTCAGTTTGGTTTTAGCGGTTTGATAATGATAATGATTGTTAATTATTGGTATCAATTTTCTCTGCAGAACTGGCTTTTTTGCAGCTGCTAGTTTTATGTCATTTCAGCACTGTATATTTAATTTTGGTGCTGATCCTTTTAGGTAAGTGCCGGTGGAATAATAATAATAATTAATACGTAAAGCAAAAAGACTTTCTGATGTTGTTCGTTTTACCATCACGACGCCACCTTGTTTTGCAGTAATGGTGCGAGACAAGTTGAGTGGTTTTCTTGCTCGAATTATCACCACTGTGCAACCTTCTTTTGTAGCTATGATGAGGGACAATCTGAGTAAAAAATCGTATGTGTTTATTATTTATTTTCAGATATCCACCTTTAGTGGCTTTTAAATGTTTCAATGATCATGCTGTTTTAAAAGAAGAAGACAAAATTATCCTTCCAAAGTAAGTTTGATAATAATATCGATCTTACAGTAATAATAAATCTGCTGACAAAAGTTTTAAGAAGCAAAATAGGATGGTTGTCACCTAACATCACTCAATCTGAGGCGGCGAGATAAGCGAAACAACAACTTGACAACAGCGTGCGGATTTGCACAACTTGATTTTTTTTAGCCACGTGATCCTCCAGTCTTTTATAACTGGCTATATTTTTGTTTACAAAATCATCTTTTGCTATTGATAGACATATAAAGATGAAGACAATACGTCAGGAAAGTGTCTCAGGAGAAGCGTGCAAGATTTGTTTTGAAAAGACATCGGACACTAAACTCCTCCCCTGTCAGCACGGGTATGTAAGCAAGACATAGAAAATAGCGGCCTGCATAGCGGGTCTAAAGGATGGTGGTGGGTGGGTCGCTCGGTGGGTGGGAAAAAGGGGCAAAAACAAAGACCCAGGCCAGTCGTCCTTTCGCTTTATCCAGCTCTCCTTGTGTCCATAAAGGTCTTCTTGTTCAGAACACAGCGCTGTCATTGTATGCTCGATGTCTTTCATTTCAAAATGAAAGACCTTGGACACACAATGTCACCTCTGAGCGTCTTCCTATTTAGTCGAGCTAGCCATAATTTAAATTCATATATAATCATTTGATAGACAGAATATTACATCATAATCTTATCGTGTTTTAAAAAAAACTTCCACTCGTTCGCCTATACGCGCACCCATGCAATATCCTGTTTTTCTCAATTTTCAAAAATGGATAGCACGACTTCACGCTCTAAGAGCGTCTAGTTAAACCTTCGCTGTAGTTAGTACCCTCGGGATGATTAATCCAGGTAGTGTCACTGGAATGCTGGGATCAAATGTAGGAAATTTGATTGATCAATGAAGTTGCAGTCGTAGCAATATATACGGACAGCAGTAAGGTTTCGACCTTATGGAAATATTCCATTTCTTAAGGACGTTAGTTTGTCCTTTACATGCGGAGGATGATGGGAAATGTAGTCGCACTTCAAATTCAAATGCCATTTATTTCCAAAAATAAGCAAAATATCATACAGTTTCAATGACTTTAAAATTGTTGCAATAAGGTTTGATTTGTAAAGAAAATTTTATGGCCTTAAAGTAAAAAATTAATACACATTTGTCAATTAAATAATATTCTGAAATGGTTTCGTCCTTAAGACTCTTACAGCGTAGGAATTTGCAGAAAAGTAACCAATAAAGAATAAAAAACGAATGTTCGACTGCACGGCCTGTTCAATCGACTGACTGCATTCCCTCTTCATCCTCCAATGGCAGAGAGTTGGCAGATTCTTCCACTGCATCATGGGAAGACATTCCTGGTTCCCTTTCAGCGCTCAGGCCAGGAATACCAAGTTCAGGAATTCTATGTATAAAGAATCCCTTGGCCAAGTCGAATACCCAGCCAAGTTCTCTTCTTGCTTCGTCCAGTTCCTCTTGAGTTCTTTGAGTG